AAACTCTTTTGGATCAAATGGCGTCAAAGTTCTCTGACCTTTTAATTCAAAATGTCGACATGAAAAAGTCGATTGATGGTCTTCAAAGTCGCTTTCCCACCAAAACTGAGAAAATTGACGAAGTTGAAAATTTGCCGTCAAAAATTGAAAAGGTTGAAAATCAAATCCAACAAAGTGCGCCGACGCAATACACCAAATCGCCATCACCAAAACTACAACAACAACCAAAACAACCCCATCCGTATCAACAAGAAATCCAACGCCCAAATTATCCCGCCAAAAGTCCAAGTCCAAACACCCCCAAAGAGCAGAAGAAGCCGTCGATTCCAATTGGAAATAAAATGAAACCGACTCCATTGGTGCCAAAGAATAAGAAGGACGACTTTGTGGGTACTCATTTGAAACGGAAATTGTTAATTTCAACAAACAGCTGAAAGACGACGATTTGAGTGTTAAAAAGAAAGACCACGAGGAGACAAAGAATGTGCAAACCAAACTTGAAAACGTTGAAATTAATAACAAGAACAGTTCACTGGAAATTGCGACAGATGTGAAGAAGAAGACAGAAAGTGCTACACTGACTGGAGTTATATACCAGAGATACCAAACACATTATCAATCCCTTCTGTTTTTAATATACCAACTATCCAACCAGCGGAAACTAAAAAGTCGACAGAAGAAGGGTGGTCGGTTGTGTCATATAAATGATAAGAATGTCAGTGAACAAAAAGACGCAAATATCAGTTCATCCCAACAAAAGACCAAATCGAACAATTCACCCTCGACCGCCTCAAAGACACAGAAAAGAAACACATCGACGACTATAACACGGTCAGACAAAATAATGACGCCAAGAAAGGTACTATGAAGAAACTAAAACGGAAATAAAAACTATGACAATGGAAACTATTAAGGAAACCAATAAGAAAACTAAAGAAGATAAAAAAGATGAGATACAAGACAACCATCTTACAGTTGAACAAAACGAAGAAAAAACAGAAAAAATCGTTGAAATACCACAAGCAAAAAAGAAATCCAAATTCCATCAATTTCTGTTTTCAAAGATGAAGGAAATATTTGTAATGAAACACAACAAAATGTGGTCTTAGAAAACAACTTGATGTCGTCAAAGATAGATAAGAACCCAAATGAAAAGAAAAGTCCTGTTCCTGTTATATCAACGTTCCCCGTTGTATAATCGTGTGGCTAAATGGTTAATTGAATTGGTTAGCACTTTGTTTGTATCACCTCTTCAATTGATAAAAGTAAGAGTTAATTATTACTATAACTTTTAGAAGTTAAATATACTATATTGTAACTATTTAATTAAACTAAACTTAATTAGGTTGTAAAAATTAGTATTTATAATAGTTATGAAAATAGTAAATAATTCCAATTTTTAATAATATAATATAGTATAAATATAATTAAAAAGTACATAATACTAATACTATTAGTTAATTAGAGTTTATAACCAATAATAATAAACCCCATAATAGTAATTGAATGGTATTGAAGTATATATGAAATAACATAATAAATAAAATAGGCCGGTTCTTTAAGTGATTCAACATTCCGAGTGTTGGAATCAAAGCAGGAACCAAGATATCAGTTTGTTC